TGCGTATCAAATGAATTTATGTATATCTGTGAAAAGAATTAGGCAATTCTAGAATGTAACATTTTATTCTTTCCAAAATCCGTGCTATATATATATATATATTTATATATATATGTTGATATATATGTTTAATTTGAGTTAAAAAGTCGGGCGTTACATCAATAAAAATAGTATGTGAGTTTTATAAAAAAATATTTATTTAAAATTCATACATTTCGGCTAGCATCTTAGCTTTCATTCAGTTGTAATCAATTTAAAATTTTCTGTTCTAATATAACATATGAAACCATTATTAATCCATATATGATTAGTTGTTCTTGGGCAACCATCCAATAGTTAAAACAATTTTAGTGAAGAAAAATGTCTTTATTGTCAAACGTCCCATCTTCAGTGCTACATCAAAAGATTTTTTGGGGGATATATTTTTATATAGTTTTTATATCTATTTCAAACATGTAACCCTGATTTTTTCTATTGTATTGTATTGTACTGAAGATGGGTTAAATCAGAACCCGAAACGTTTGACAATAAAGACATTGTTCTTCACTAAAATTGTTTTAATTATTGGATGTATGCTCAAGAACAACTCTATCATAATATTTCATCTTCTAAAAAAACCTCTCGTTTATATATACGCCTATATATGTATATATATATATATATATATATATATATATATATATATATTTGTATATATATATATATGTATATATATATATATATATATATATATAGCGATATATTCCCGAACATATTGTCATGATTACTAATTTAATTCGGAACTTAACAAGATAATTAACCATCCGAACTTTCTGCGAAGCGCGTACCTCGTTCGGTCCTTATGCATTGCATAATATATTCGAAATCCCGTTCCTGATATATTAGCCTGTTCCAGAGCGTGCTTATAGATCCAAAACATTTAGAGCATAAGCAATCTCACTAATGCAGATAATGTCATTTCATTAACTAGCAGCGCAAATCGAGCAACATTTCTCAAACTTTTGAATTTTGGTAATTGTAGAATATTGTAATGAGTTTACGCTCGAACGGATTATCTCGCAATGGGTTTCTCGTGTTTACAGATAAAGAGTTTAGATTTTATATACAATGCATAGTTTCCGTCAAATTACACAATTCAGCGCAAACTCAATTTCTAAATAGTATAGAAACCGATTTAAAGTAAGAGAAAACTTAATACTATATATCGTGAACGTGTCAGTGTTAGTGTGTCAGTGTTAGTGTGTCAATATATCAATGCCAGCACCTAACTTTCGGAACTTTCCGTAACGCAATTTAATGTTTTTAAAAGCTATGAAATTTTTTGAAAAAACATTTTTTTTCTGATAATTTTGAATTTTTTATATATTTTGATTTTTTATAACATGTTTTAAAACTTTGGAAAAGGTTTGATTTCACTATTGATAATCTTTTTCAAATATGTATAATCGTTTTGTTTTAATTTCTAAATTATATGTATTTTAATGATAAATATACTATGCATTTTAATGATAAATATACGTAGGTTACTTAAATTATAGTAAAAACTCTTAATAGTAATGTTAGTAATATATTCGTGACATATAGCAAACAATTGGTAGTTTTATTTACAATGAGATCTTAATTTGAAAGATTTTGGCTAGATTGAATGTTTTTTCGCCTGCAAGTGCATTTAAGCACATACATAATTTTTCTATTCTGTAATTATTATCAGTATTTAATCATGTTAGATTCGTTTTTATAGTTAATATTTGGTAATTTCATGACTAATTTTATTAATATTATTTCAGTGGACATTTTGTTTTAACAACTTGAAAAACTTTTTGCGCCAGTTGAGGACTATTCTTTTGCTTTTCTTATTCAATGGATTATAATTACAAACAAATAATAATGCAGTCTAGTTATTAGTAATTTGCAAACAATATAACATTATCATTCATATTTTTCTTAAATTTTAATACGTCTATAAATAGCTACATCATAACCAATGCATCGAGTATAAACTATTATTTTTGGAAATATATATTATAGTTTAAACTTACATAAACCAAAGTTGATGTAATATTAATGTTGCAAACGTTCAGCAGATGACACGCGAATGTATAATATGACATGGGTAAATATCAACAACGCGTCGCTCTTGTAACACGATGATCGGACGATGATATATTATACGGTGCGGCACGTTTCTAACGTTGAAACATTTCATTTTCTGTTACCATCACCTTAATGATTTTGTTTTTATATATTTTGAAACAACAATATCATTGCTTTTTTTATTTGAAATAACAAGTATTGCGTCTTATACAATTATAAAGGTTGAACATATTTGAATTCGACCGAACCGTGCCGTCCCGCGTGGCGAGTCACCTCCCGGCCCGCGTGCGGCCGCGACCAACGGCAACAACCGCGCTGGGAGCTCCGACTGATTTACAATTCTCCAGCGGCCGTATATTTATTTCATGCTTGCTTGCTGAAATATTTGCCTTGTTTATTCTGCAGATATATCATATTCGTCGATTCCTTGCCGTTTTCAAGAATAATAACTGTACAACACCCGTATAAATTTTGAAGCAAAAAGTAGAAAAAATTGCTGTATGTCCGCCGGGATGATATATACGATACCCGTGTAAACGTTACAATTTTCCTTTTGTATTGCTTAATTCAATTGAAATAGTATTTGCTGAAGAAACTTGTTTCAGTAATAGATTTGAGTTGGTAAGTTCCATTTTGTGCATGTAAATATTCTATTCGAATTTATTAAAACAATAATTACATGATTTGAAATTTCAGTATAAAATTGTAAATCATAATTTAATAAATACACACACACTTATATTTATATATATATATATATATATATATATATATATTGCATTTTAAATTAATTTCTCAACCTAAACACGTAGTCTAATATACAAAATTGAAACTAAATTTAAATAACAAAAAACATTCTAAAAGTATAAATAGGTTTTATAGAAAAATAATCTATGCATATTATATTGTATTATAATATAATCTTAAATAAAAAAAATGTTATCCATGTATTTGTTTAAAATATTTGTTTGAATAAGAAAAAACTTATTCAAATAATCGCGAGATCGTCGTTACTTTAAATCTGCTGCATTACGGTGGAGCGATCTTGTACTTTCTGTACATTAACTGATTGAAAAATTTTGTTCAGTTTTTTTGTAATCCGAATACGTGAAAGCAAGCTATTTGCTAAATTAATTCTAAAAATTTTCCTTATCTGGTAATGCATAGTATCTGTGGGTTTCTAAAATAAATGCAATGCAAAAATATAAGATGAAATATGAGAATGAAAAGATAAAATTACGTTATTGTGTTACATTCAAACTGGTTGTGTTTGGGCTCGTACACACACACGCATACCCATATATATATATATACATATATATATATATATATATATATATCAAAATACTTTTATAACTAGTTGGTATTGGTATTTTGCCTTGAGGCAAGTTACATGAACTTTTCGATATGTGTGAAAAATCGACTTAATCAATAAAAAATAAATTATGAGTGATTAAAAGTATTCCGAGTGGATTTATTACACATATTTGAAACTCAATTTTTGAAAAATGAACAATTTTCATAGTTGAACCAGTTTCCGTAGGACTTTAATGATTTATTATGTTTATTAAGACCAAGTACTCTATCGTTATACCAAGTAAATCGTCTAATTTTAACTATCAACAAAACTACTCATTTTCTCAAACTGTGATGAATTTTTAAAATTAATCCACTTGTCAGTAAGTTCTATAAGACTATGATATATATTGCCAAAAAAAGTTCCATAAAAATCGGCTTAAATTTTTTTCAACAGTTAGTTGCAAGAAAACGGCTCAAGAGATTTTCACCTAAAGCTAATCAGTATCATTCCCAACTAATATTTTTCGAACAGTTTTTGCTTGTTTAAAATCGATTCGGTAGTATGAGCTTAAATGTAGACGAAAAGTTTTTTCCAAATTACAAAGAAACGGCTCGGCCAATCGTCGCACAAAACTGAGAATATATCGAGATACATCAAATGGCTTTTAAATTTCTGAAATCGATTCAGGCGTTTATGAGCAAACGTCGATGAAAGGTCTAATTTTGAGTAATTTTAAATATTTATATTTAAAACGATACTACTTTATGCAAACTTGTCGAATTTTTAAAGTTAAACGAGATCCTACGACAAGGACCGTAATATTTTAGTATAATCTATAAGACTATGATATCTACCGTCCAAAAAATAATAATAAAAATCGTCGATAACAATATTTTTAACACTTTGTTACAAGAAATCGGCCCGGCCGATCTCCACCAAAAACTAATCAGCACAATTCCCAACCAATATCTCGAATGATATCGAATGGTTTTTGAATTTTTAAAATCGATTCAGAATTACGGGCTAAAACGTGAACGAAATTTTTTTTGGGAAAACGTCGATTTACGGCAAAAAATCTGTTTACATACACATACACACATAAACATTTTTCAAATTTGGTCTCGTTGAATTCAGAATGGCTTAAAACGCCGAGAAAACATAAAATTAGCGAATCCAATTTTTTGATGAAAACAAACTTCTCCTTCTCCTTCGGGAAGTTGAAAAATATTCTTCATATATAAAACATGGATCAACAGAAAATAAAATGTCGCATATTGCTAGATTTTCTAATTTCAAAAGACACAGATTTCAAGAAAACAAACGGATACCTTTGTAATAATTTAAAAAAAATGTATCGATTTTTATACAAACTCGTTTAAAATTTACTACAAAAGAGAAATGTATGCAGCTTATTTTGTGAAAAAATATATCAATTGTGAAAGACATGTAAAATGAAAAACATCTAATATGAAAATTTTGTGATTATTGATACATTTAGATCTGACCGCGGTTTGGTTTGTTTCGCAATGTGAGTTAACGAGAATAAATTTAAACAAAATATAAACGAATTGAGCAAATTAGATCAACTACGTGTTTGATTCCATACCTTATTAGGATATCCATTATATCGTAGCAGCTTCTTACAGCATTTGCCTCGGCTCTCGTAATATATCTCCTGCGTTGGTTTGGGCGGCGCTCGTCTCAACGCACAGCAGCCCACGCCGCCCGGCGGTGTTGCGGGCGGACTGGCCGACACGGGCTCGTCCATCAAGCCGCTGATGAAACCTGCAACAGGCACATGAATTTTTAGATACCTCATCGCTTTCTACCTTATCACTTGCTTTGCTCACATAGTGAATGTTTAATGACCGGCCTATTTTCACCTGACGTTAGAACAACCTTTAAGATCAGGTATTTGGTAGCCTATTGATACAAATGTACGGTTGGTTGTTCTATCTCGGGAATTGTTTTATATATAATGGAAGTGTGTTGTAATAATAGACCTATATAGTATAGGTAAACAAATTAAAAAAAAACAGTGGTTAACACTCTTATAATTTTTTTTTATTTCCTTATAATTATAAACCCTCCGTCGATCGGCGTGGTCTGGCTAGACTTTTTTCGGCTTCAATTAAAAAAAATACTTCTTGTAATCCTATCGACTTGAAATTTCTTGACTTTTCCTAAAATTTCATTAGCCGTCGATCAATGAAAAAATTGGGACGAAAAAAGGTACAGAAGGATAATTATAAGGATATTAACTTTTTTATACTTCGAACGGTCGGAGTGGTCTGTCTAGACCACCCATACATTCTGTATGAAATATACGCTTTTTGATATATGTAAACCAAAATTTATCTTTTTTCTGGTATTTTCTATTCAAACTGCGTTTTATATATTCTTTGCTATGAATGTTAGTATTTTCACGGCGAGAGTTCCTTAAAAACCTACCAAACTTATTGGTCATCGCAAACATTGAAAATCGGATGAGTAATGCGCACATTATCAACAATTTTTCTACCCGTACTGCGTTCGAATTTTTTTTTGGCAAACCTGTAGTGAAATTATATTTTCAACTTGAATTTTACAGATCATTTCAAAGGCCTCATTTCGTTTTTATTTGAATTTCACATTCATTTCGAAGGAGCCGAAAAAGAATAAATATTGTTTTTCATTGATATAAAACAGAAAAATTAACAAACCAAAGCAACGATTTTTTTATATTCTTTGATGTTTTGTTCTATAATATAATATTATATATGATTTTTTTAATATAAGCAAGCTCAACACATGCAAAAGACGGTAAGAAAAAGAAAAAATCAAAACTATAAATATTTAATACTAATAATCGTTAACATATAAGACACCAAAAACTCATTTACCCCATATAAATGCATGTAAAATGAAAGGTGAATAAATATCCGACCGACGGATGGTTAATAGTTAGTTGTTTGATATGTCGTATGTGCTGTAATGTATGTTGTTTGATTTACCCTGTATATTTACTGAAAGTCAAAAACTACTGGTATACTTATAAGTATATATAATATATTGGGATACTGAATGGGATATTTCTCTCAATGATGCATCTAATACACCACAATAGATTCAAGCGTTATTCTTCACCTTAATAACTAAATGTAACAGATCCGCATTTTTGTTTAGACTTTTAGTTGTTCGGCTAGTTGTACATAAATATTTATAAGCTTTTTCTACAAAATTTAAATGTATTAATTATACCATATCAATTTATGAATTACTTGCATATATTAGAATTACTAGGTACTTGGTTACTCTTCCATATATTAGGTTGTTTTAAATATTTTAATAATTCAGCAGAATCAAATCTCTTTACGTTTGTTTTAAAATAAAAGAAACTGATGATGATGAAATTACTAATTCAGATCATAAAGTGGTATGAAATGATTACAATTTTTGCTATATTGAGAAAAGTAGTCAGAACATTGAATCATAAAATGAAAAATGAATGATAATTTTTGTATTTAGGACCCCACATCAATTTAAATCTAAGTTTTTGGAAAGTCGAAGGTAATGAAACGTGATCCAACTCGATCATACTTTTCACTCTAAGATCTGTAATGCTTGTGATTCTAATTCTTCTAATAATGTTGATCTTAGATGATATGCTGAATTATATTTCACTTAAATGAATACTTCCTCTGCACATGGATGAAACTTTTATGTTTTATTATTTTGAAAATTACTTTGTCCATATGACCCCACCATTTCTCCACCATTATACATGGTTTGTTGTGCAGTCAAACAGACAATAGCATTCATTACGTGGGCTTCGTATGTATCATTTTTCATAAAAAATATTATGACTGATACGGCATACCGATTTTTCAAATATTTCATTTTTCATTTACAAGTTTATTTTTGTTATTTTTCTTTATTAATGAAGTTATATATGCTATTTCATATCTTTTTCGTGATGACTGATCATACATATTTACCAAAATGAGTAAAATAAATTTCGTTGTCTTTCATTTTCAAAAAATTAGGTTTTAATATTTTCAATAGTATAATATATATATATATATATATATATATATATATATATATCGTAGAAGATTTATATGGACTTGTGTTATATCCAATAAGCAAGCTCCGAATACAACAACATATCACAATCTCGGATCATTCTGTTATGTGGGCCATGCGCCGGGCTAGACTGCATGACTTTTCAACATAATTTATGAATACAATCTTTTATACTTTATCACAACGATACTCATAAAATATGTTTGCATCATGTGAAAATACGAAAATACGAAGTAGAGCAAAAAACATTCTCATTTCCAATATATAATAATATCGAAGTATCGCATCGAAGAAAAGAAGATGTTTACAAATATATTTTGATATAGAGCCTCACATATCATCAGGAAAGCATTAAGGTCTGAAAAGGCTACGCCACCGTTTACACCACCCCGCGAGAACTTTTTGTGATAGTCGCGGGGCGGCTGTGATAAATTATTTTGTGGCGAGGGATGGCGATTCTTTTCTTTCTAGACTTTTTTATCATTTCTTTCTTTTTTTACTCTAGCATAAAATTCCAGATGTAAATTGAAATAAAACGACGGTTTTAACCTATTAGCGAAATGGATGATGGATTTGCTGCACAATTGCGGCTGGAAATGATTTATTAATAAATGATTTATGTTAGATTAAAAATATATTTATATAATTATCATTGCAAGATATTTTTGTACGCTTGAAATATTTCCTAAATAGAAATATTTAGTCATAATAAAAATTGAGAGAAGAATTAAGATTAAAATTTGCTAAAATATTTTTATTCGGTAATTTTAATTATGACTTTGATTTTAAGAGTATTTGGATTAGGTACAAAGATTTAAACATTTTACGAAATAACTATTGTATAATATTGTAGCTTTTAGTTTATCGTTTTATTATTAGTAACAATAGGTATTACTAGCAATTAAATGGTGAATTAAAATTTTTGTATTTTGAAAGTGTGCATTACCGCAAGTTTTATCTACTTTACAACCTATTTGAAAATTTGCTATAATCTTCTTGTAATATTAAAAAAAGCTTTTCAAATATAGAATATACAAGAGTATATAGCGTATCAAATCGATTAAAAAATTATAAGTTTGTTTTTGCATTTAACTGACAAAATGGTGGATAATGTAGATTCGATATTGTAGACAGTATTGTTATTTATTACTGCTCAATTAATAACAATAACTAAAAACACAGAGTAAATTGATGACACATAAATTTATAATTTAATTTTTGTGTTAAAAAAGAATGTCTATGTTCATATTATATATACAGGTTTCTGATGAGTTTTGATGCAAATTGTATCATTTTGCAACAACTAAAATTCCAATTGTGGCCATTGTATGATTTTACTAAACTATGGTGGTCAATTTCAACTTCATAATTGAGTTGAAGCATTGATGAAAAAAAATTGAATGCATGAGTCAACTCAAAATTGTATATATTGATTCATACTTGTATACATATACATATACAATTATATACATTGTTTCAAAATTGTACTATTGTTTAACTTTTAAATACTGATACATGTCAAATGGATGAGTCAATAAAAATATAAAAAATTAGGCTTTAATAACGGTTATATTATAATCTAAATATATTGTCCATGTTCAAGAATTTTAATAATTATGTTGTAAGGTTATTACATTTTTTACTTCTCGCTCCGTAATTTTTTTCTACATATCTTTATGTTTCAGAGGTTTCTGAAGATATACCAACCTGAGAAAAAATTGATGTGTCTATGTATGTATGGATACATATTTTTCATCCACAATTTCGGGCCACAATTTTAATCGATTCTAATGATTCTAAAAACATTCGATTCCTATTGATAGGGAGAGGATTTGGTTTTTAATTTCAATTAAAGTTAAAAACATTTAAATTATCTTATATTTAATTCTTACTTTTACTATTTCGTTTCGGTGCGGGAAGTTCGAGCAATTTACGTTAAGGTACGATGTCAAGCACTACTAGTTTCTTATTGTTATTTATAAATAATAATTTAAAATATTCACTTAATTGATAAAACAATAATAAAATTCAAATATTTTATTAACCGTCTCAGGTGTCTTATCGTAACTGCATACACAGCATGGATAAAACATAACTTTTAAACTACTCCCAACTTGTATATAAAATATTCGTAAATCCCCCACAAATTATGTTTCCAAGAACTCGGCTTACCTTACGTGGGTGCCCTCATATCATACATTGTAGTAGAATTACATGCCTGTATAATGACGATGAATTATTATTCCGCTATTCTCTCATGTAACACTTCGAGGTGGCGCGACTCGCCTAATAAAGCCCTTACGATAAATCCGACACACGGCGACGGCAGGTGTAACATAATAACAGTTACAAAACTATTTCTTGGCAGTTTTCAAGACGAAACAATAGGGGAGAACGGCGCAACGCGTTACAAAACTGGTCGATAAGCTTTGTCATCACACTCTGGTGGTCACCAGCTAGATATTGAACACTTTGAATATAATATGTTGTATATTATATATTTATTATTAGGTATCTATATTTTTGTATGAGTCTTGTGTAAAATATTCAAGATTGTTGTTGCTTGAATAAATAAATAAATACATAAAAAATAAAAAAAATGTTGTTTGAAAAGTAGTAAAGATCTGACTTTTTACACAATATTTTGTAAATTTTATTGAAACTTTTAGGGAAGTAACAATATACAATCTAATGAATAATTATTTTTTTATATATAATTTTAGTTGATCATCTATCCACAAGAGATATAAAATC